TCGTGTCACGGCTGCGCTGGGAATCCCACTTATATTGGTGGCTCCAATTTTTGGTTTGAGTGATGCGAGCTGGGGCAAGGCTTTCGTTCAAGTGTGCATTGATATAGGCCTGCCTCTGGGTGGTGCTTGGACAGGTCCTCTCTTCCGGGCTCCAAGCCCGGCAGGTGACTTGACAGGCCGGCCTATCAAGACTGACGAGGTCAGGAAGTGGGCTTCAAGGCTGGTTGAGACGTGTGTCGGGACTTTTCCGGAAGGATTCACAGCGCGTGGCATTAAAGCCACGCCTTTGTCATGGCTTGCAAAATATGGAGTTGGTGAGGAGGCCCGGCATGTTTTGGGCCACCACAGCATGTCAGGCAAGAAGGCGCTCGTTACGTATTCGCGAGATCTGCAGTCGGCCCCTCTTCGCACTTTTTGCAAGGTTCTGGATGCTGTCCGTAGGAAGATACTCCTTCCGGATTCGACCCGCAGCGGCATGATTTCCTGGAACGAGGATGCAAGGGCAGAGCGCTTGAGTGGCAGCCCAATGACTCCCGACCAGGCCTCTGAGTATCGTGGCGAACTTGAAGGTTCAGCGGATGAACAAGGGCCGCAAGACTTGAGAGATGCTGAAAGCGTTGGGGCTAGTGCGAACTCGGTAGAGTCGTCCAGCTCGAGCAGCTCATCGACATCGTCCATGGATGAGGTTGCTGATAGGCAGAGCGCAGGCATGGTGTCTGCCGAGGCTGTGGTTCGGAGTTGGAAGCCGAACTGTGATGTTTACAAGAACCGGAGGACTAAGACTCTGCATTTGCTTCCCGTTGGGTCAACACCACCTTCTTGTGCGGGAGGCGTCTCACAAGTGATTCAATCCAATTTGAAGGCACAATTTTCCATGAGTCGTGGAAATGCCGCCAGTGTAACACAAGCAAGCCGTTGAGAGACATCGGCTCGTGTGAAACTCTTTCATGGAAGCGCGAGCGAAAGCCTCGTCTTCAAAGGAGAGGCGATCGGACGGCGACGGAAATTGATGAGGGAGTCAAAAGTATGTGCGTCGGCTGTAGACGCAAAGGCATCGCTGAGATGCCTGTTTGAGTGACAGTGTTTTTTTTGGAACGCTGTGTCACGTGATTTGCTCTTCTCGTTGGAGAGTCGCTAGACTCACCAAATGAGATGAGGTCGTTAGACCAAGTGTCGCTAGACACGTCGTGTGCTGGTCTCGGACTGGCTCAAGCCTCCTCGTCAGAGGATAGACATGTGAGTGTCGTTTGTCATGGTGTTTCATTAGCATGAACTTTGCACCGTTTCAAATCTACAAAATGTTGGATTTCAGAAGGGTGCAGCTGTTTCCGATCAGCCGTGAGTGCCATGGTTTCTCTGCTTGAGTCTGAGGCGGTGTTTCAGGAGAAATGTCGCGAGTTCAAGCTGCCGGCGGATTCAATGCAGGTGTTACAGAACCAAGGGATTAACACTTTGGGGACGCTTGCATTTTCACTGGGAAACCCAGGCGATTCGGCTTCGACGCAGGAGCTTCGAGAATTGCTTGACTCAAGTGCCCCGCAGGATGTGCCGCTTGGTGTCGTGGCGTCTCTTACCTGGCAAAAGCTCTGCCAATCGAATCCACGCCTGTCGATCTGCTTCCAATACTTGACGTACTGATGTTCTTTCATAACCAGGGGGAGCCTGCGATTGCAAATGCCTGATCAGAAAACTGTTATAGCTTTCCATGACTGCAAAACTCACAACGCCCGTCAAGTCCAACGCCAGCGCCCTTCGTAAGAGCGCCTGTGTCAGAAGGAGCTCCGAGTGAGTTTCACAAGCGACCTTGCTCTTGCCGTCTTTCACCTGAAGGCGCTGGTGAGCATCTATAGTGATCTCCTTGCCACCTTCTCAGAGCTCAACTCTGCTTGTCTCGTGACAAACCTGGACGGGGGCATGTGCATGACCACGTTCTTCTCAACCATTTGCAGCGCAAAGTCGTACAGCATTCTGCCTCGCCAACCAAGCTAGTCTTTGCTTCTGTTCATTGATTCGTGAAACACGCTCAGCCGTGGGAAGTTCCTTGACGCCAGATTCAGCACCAGGCTCCTCCACCATGCCCTTGATTTCCGAAATAGCCAAGGTGTGTGGTGTCAGGCGGCTGGACGATGGTTCATTGCCGCTGGACGCCCAATTTCCGAGTCTGCAGACGGACCCAAAAGTTTCTTTTTATTTGCTGCCTTTACCGACCCAGAGTTCGTCCACCACTTCGGATGCAACCAAGCGTCAATCTGATGGGAGCTCAAGCCAGCGTTCGAATTTCCAGAAAGGAGGTGGCAAAAGCAAAAAGGGCGGTCCTCGCAATATTCCGGCGGAGCTAGTGGGCAAGATGACGCAAACCAGATCTGGGAAACCGGTGAGTTTCGGCTACAACATGGCTTGCGGCTGTCCACATAAAGTGAAGCCGGCAGCCCAGTGTCCGCGTGGACTTCATGTGTGTGCTGAGCCTAAATGTGGGAAGAATCACAGCACGCAGGATCACCCTGCAGCAAACAGCAACTGACTAGAGAGTGCAGTAGTTTCACGCCATCAGTTTGATGATGGCTTCGTGAATAGAGCGACAAGCAGGTTGCAAGGGAAGTGCGTCAGCGATTTGGTCTTCATAGAAGTCTTCGCTCACGGGAAGGCTGACGGCTTCAGTCAGAAGACTTGGCATGAATCAGTCAGTGGGTATTGATCATGTCATTCACAAGCAGGTGAGGGCGATTATGGTCAAGCTCGATTTGACGAAAGCTTCGGATTTCAATTTGTTGATGAACATGCTGGATGATGAAGACGTAGCTTGGTCCATGTGGCACGGCAAGTCGCGCTCGAGATATTCGAAGGGAAGACGGTTTTGACCCACCAGCAGCCAGGTCGGACGCACAACCGGATGGTCTGGCAGGTTTATCAGACGCTTTACAAAAGCGGGTGCAGTCAGCCAACTGCCTTTACATGGCGACGAGTCAGATTATGGAGCGTTGCTTTCAGCGTGGTATTTTTTCGTCAACTGAAAATCCGCAGCGGTCTTATTTCTGGGATACCAGTTTTTGGAAGCGACGGGCTGGTCAGCTGCCTTTCATGCATGCGCTGTTCGATCATTGTCAATACGGCGGTGAACGCAAAAAACCACCGCTGGAACTTTGCAAGTCCATGGCAGATTATTTCAGGAGACAGCTTTTGTTTCTTGGGGTTACGGATGTGCCTTCCTCTCTTGGAGACTCAAATGCTGGTAGCGCTATACACCTGGCACAAGCCTCTGTTGGCAAGCAGCCTCGCGGAAAGAAGCTGCCTCCGCTTGTCTCTGAGTTTAGGCAGATCATCGAATTGATCACGCCGCTGGCTGTGAACTTACCTACCAAAATTTCGCTTGAATGGTGCATTCCCGCAAATTGCAGAGCGACTCCCGGCTTCTTGCCGCCATTTGGAATCCTTTGGATGCATGCGTCGAGCTGTACAGGCATTGTGCTTTGCCCTTCGGAGGCAGAGCGTCTGTGAATGCATTCTGTAGGGCTTCGCGTAGCCTTTGGGTCTTAGGGACGGTGCAGCTGTCCTTTTTCTGGACGAATTATTTCGACGACTATGTGCTCTTTCCAGACCCGCTTCGTCTCGGCATTGTAGCAGTATGGCTGGCATGTTTTTCAAGGTGATGGGATGCTGGTGTCCGAAGACAAGCTGGAAGATTTTGGGCCGGAAGCGAAGGCGTTGGGATTACTCATCAACCTGGATGAAGCGAAGTGCGGGAAGGCTCAGTTTGGAAACACTGATTCAAGGAAAAGAGAATTGGTAGACGCAATCAATGAAGTCTTACAAGCTGGATCGTTGAGCCAGAAGTACGGCCAGCGCTTGAGAGGCAGACTGTTATTCGCTGAATCGCAGATTTACGGCAGGAGAGCCGCGCCGACGCCATCGGTCAATTCATCATAAGTGAAGGATGCTTTCCCTCACTTCTTTTCAGACCAAGGTGTCCGACACCATCGGTCACTTCGTCATTCCACGGCACAGCGATTTTGCCCGAATGGTCCATAGTGAGATGATTTTTTTTATACCACCCTGCGCTACGAAGACCCCGAATGCCCCTTAGCGACGCAAGGGGGGCCGTTGCGAAAGTACAACACCCCATCGTTACGAATTCGTGTAACGACTACTCCTAAGAAAACATGTTTGAAGGACCCCTGGCCACGGCAGCGGCACGGACGGACAGGTGGCCGCGCACGGCAGCAGCATCGCAGCGCTGCAGAGCTCGCTGACCACGGGTCTCTCAAACAAGGCAGACCAGTCGGCCTTCGACGTGCTGGAGGGCGTGGTGGCCACGAAGAGCACCCCGGACGGCGTGGATCTGAAGCTGTCCAACTACAGCCGCAGCGCCTCCAAGCTCGCAAGTTGAGACGCCTCCATCTTGGGACTGCAGGCTTCCAAGGCGGACGCCAGCGCACTGACTGCTTACGCCCTGTTGTCTGCCGTAGAATTTTTTTAGAGGTGGACTCTAAGATAGCGGCAGCCCTCTTGGACGCAGTCACCACGGCAGCTCTGGACGCTTTGGACACGTAGACAGCAAGATAGCAAGCCCTGCTGGGTCTTGCCACCAAGACCTTCGTCGCAGCGCAGCTTGCTAGCCGGACGCCAGCATCACGGCGCTCCAGGAGGCCAAGGCCGACGCAACGCTGCTGGCCTCGTACGCTACGAACGCCGACTCTAGCCAGCAAGACCACGCTCCAGAGCGCCCTCGACGCAATCCTCGCAAAACTTGCCGCCCTGCAGCTTTCCGGCAGCGGCGGAGTTGTTAACGCGCCGGCCTGGGCGGACTTCACTACTTGGGAGCTCGCGGAAGCAACGTTTGCAACCTGCATTTGGAGGCTTCTCTCTCTGCTGCGCTGGCCAACGGCGACGACACGCTGAGCATCACGGCCAACTGCTACTGTGAGTGAACATACCAGAGACGTGTCTGCGGGGGTCGCAATTCATCCCCTAAAACAGTGTTGCTTCGTCTCAAGATTTTTCACATGGCGAGCTTGATGCCATGGCCTTGCAGCTGAAGGAGGCACAGCCAAGAAGAGGCCGCGAACTAGCAGACCTGCCCGGAAGAAGGCGCCGGCCGGGAAGGTAGGGCCTGTGTCCAGTGTGAAGCAAAAGCATGGGAAGGTCTGGGCAGAACGTGTCACCGAAGGCTCGGGCACGGAGTCGGCAGCAACAAGTGGCAGCGAGCCGGCGGAGCCACCTGCCAAGAAGGCCAAGGCTGATGAGCCTGGGGCGTCAAGGCCCAAGGCTACTGAGCCGGGGGCCCGCAAGACCGACCAGCGAAGGGCGCTGGCCACTTGGATCGCGCTGGATCAGGCGCCAGCTGCAAATTGCTAAACCGAGCAGTGGACCTGGGCGCATCTTGAGACTCAAGAGATGGCTACTAGCCGGGTTTGATGACGCAGGTTGGCCTCAGCATAGGATGCGATCCCACCATGTGTCTCTCGGGTCTAAGCACATGCAAGACTTCGAACGCGGCCTATCTCAAAAAATTGACCAAAGAGTCGCTAATATCGCATCGGCCTCGACAGGCAGGTCGAGGGCTGCGTCGTAGCGCTAGATCAGAAACGCAGAGCCATTAGAGTTTGACCGCCTAAGCTGTCCATGCATTCTCCTTTTTGTATTTCACCTCATAGAAGATGTGCGTTTATTGTTTTTTCAGCACGGGTTTCCGGAAGTTTTTTCCCAAAACGTGTTGCAGATTATTGTTTTTTTGGTTTGTTCATTTTTCCGAACATTTCCCCCCTCGTGTGTTTTTGTTTCTTGTTATTTTTGGTTTCTCTACACTGACCCGCGGTTTCTCGACACAATTCCTTGTTTTCTCGACACTATTCCTGGTTTTCTCGACACTATTCCTTGTTTTCTTGACACTGTATGTTTTCCCAAATAAAACAAACATTCGGGATAATAGTTTTTTGTTTGTTTGTTTGTGGAAAAACAAATAAATGCCAGTATTTCCTGACAATTTGCTCCAGGAATTCCACTCCGAAGCCTAGGTTGCTGCACACCCGCTAGCCCCCCCTTTGTCCTCACATGGAGGACCTTGAGGATCATCGATCTCAGGCTTCCACAGGCAACGTGCCGGGGAACTCAGCGCCAGTGAGCTTCGAGCTGTCCAAAGCGTCCGTAGCTCCGCTCTACGGACCCAAGCCCCTTGAATGAGGCTTCGGAGCTGGATGCTTGGGGAGGTCGCCATGGTCAAAATACAGAAAGGTCAAAGATCCAGTCACCAAGGATGTGTTCAGGGTTATAGGAGGGGAAGCTTTGTTTGATATGCTACAACGTCTTCAAGAGTTTGGGCCTTCAGTACCAGTACGCCTCGCACAGCGACTTTTTTTTTTGGTGGCCCAGGGCTCCTCAACCGACCACGGGGCCTTCATGGCTGCCGTGAAGGACTGGATCAAGGCCCGCAACGAAAACCCAGAGCAGAGGCAAGGCGAAGACATCCCTGGCTTCCCAGCACAAAGTAGGGGTCGCTCTTCATGCTGGAAAAGAACTGGGACACAAAAGTCCACGGCGAGTTTGACGCCTCCAAAGTGGTGCATTTGGAGTGCGGCATCTATGTTCAGGCCAGCCAGCAGGGGTCTTTGAGGTGGAGCGCTACGACGACATGGGCGTCATGGAGACAGCAAGGTCCGCTGGCCGCAATCGGACTGCAAAACAAGCGAAAAGCAGTTACTCCATGGTCCACAAGCTGCCGCCGAGCGAGCCGCCAGTCAGCTGCGCCAATGGAGTTCGACGCAATTTTGTCGGTGCTGCGTCCACAGTGCCGGGCCGCGAGCAGAGCAGTAAGGCCGATGACCCAGCTGCATAAGCAGGCGCGGCCTCCGCAGGAAGTAAGTCGCTTGACTCGACTGACAGCGAGGAAGACAACCCAGCCGCGCGTCTTAGCGCAGCAGTCAAAGGCAAAGCAGCTGGCAAGCCGGCGCCAAAGAAAGCTGCAGCGAAGCCAGCTCCAGCTCCTTCTGGAAAGCAAGCCCGCTTAAACAAGTGGATGAAAGGCCCTGCAAGCAGCCCCCCGACCTACGTGTCTTAGCTGCTTGTTTCACGCGGGACAGTTTCGCTACAGCTCTTGCAGGCACAAGTGTCTGAGCTTGCGGATCTGAAGAACCAGCCGGCTCCTGTGATGAACAAGGTGAAGACGCTTTGGATGCACTCGCGCCACGTGGACAGAAGTTGCCGAGAGCTTGAAGAAGACGGAGCAGGCTCACAAGCTCCCAGAGCGCAGACACCGGCTTTTGAGAGAAAGTGCTTCGAAGCAGCTCTTCAACGTGCTGGGCGAACTGCTTGCCCGCGATCTTCTTCTTCACTTCTGCTGCAGAGGCTGTCCAGGAGGCGCTGGCCAGCGCTGGCTGGGTTGGACAATCCAGCTAATCAGCGGGCGTGGCTGCTACGACCCGCCGATTTCAAGGCCGCGCTAGAAGAATCCCTGGTAGACCACAAGTTTTGGCAACTTGCCAGGGCTGCAGCGCCAAAGAGTTGTCGGCTCGGATTAGCAAGTTCAGTAGCTTGGCCAGCGAGTGGCGGAGACAAGCGAGTTTTTGCTGGCTTTGGATCAGCAGTGCCGAGCTGCAATCTTTGCGGAGATCGAGACAGCTGAGGTTACAGTTGACAACTTGCAGCGGGCAGACACTGTTGGCTGCAGCTCCTTTGCTTTTGCGGCGGCCTTCTTGCAGTGACCTTTCACGCACTCGTCAACCAGAAGACCAATAGCAGTGTAAGTTTCCAGGACCCGCTCAGTGAGCAACCAGGCCAGCTTCAGTTTGCTTGAGGAACTGCCCAACCTCAAGGTTGCCGGCGCCTTCTTAAGCTCAAGAGATCCTTTGGAAAATCGGAAGTCCAGTCATGGCCCGCTGAGGAAGCTGCTGGACAGTTTCTTCAAGGCGGGGCGGCCAGACATAAAGACGCGTTATTCGTTTTACGTTTCAAGTTTCTACCACATTTTGGACACCAGCCTGCTGTGTAAAGAAGCGGCATAAGCCCATAAACCGATGAGTTCGCAGCGCCGTAGTTTTGTTCTGTCGGCAACTAATAGCGCCCTGCTGCCAGGTGCTTGGCCGCTGGGAGATCACGAAGGAGAAGACCCCAGATGTGCACGAGGCCCAGGAGATGTTGCAGCTGCTCTGCGCTTGCCAAGCCGCTGATTGAGAACCGAGAAGACCCAGACAGGAAGGGTAGCTGCAAAGTTGCTGACGCAAAGTTGCTCTGAGTGGTTGTCAGCATCCCGCAAGCGCCTTCAGGCCACCTTACAGGGTTTGTATGTGGCGCAGACTCTCTCTTTAGAGGGGGTTTTTCAAATGGATTCTATTCTACCTGAGAGGCTCCTGGCACTCGTCCGTCCAGGAAATGACCTCGTCCTGCGAAGGATTCGAAGTCTAAAACGCTGCGTGCAGGCGTGTGGCTGCAAAATAATGACCCCTAGATATGCTTGCAAAATGCCCAGCAGCTGCGTTTCTGCAAGGCGAGCTAAAAAAAAACAGGGAAAAAAAAGAAAGCCAAGCCAAACCAGCCAGAAAGCCAGCCAGACCAGCCAGAAAGCCAGCCAGGAGCCAAACCAAACCAGCCAGAAAGCCAGCCAGGAGCCAAGCCAAACCAGCCAGAAAGCCAGCCAGAAAGCCAGCCAGGAGCGAACCAAAACCAGCCAGAAAGCCAGCCAGAAGCCAACCAAAACCAGCCAGAAAGACCAACCAGCCAGAAAGCCAGCAGAAGCCAACCAAAACCAGCCAGAAGCCAAGTCAGAAGCCAGCCAGAAGCCAACCAAAAAAGCCAGCCAGGGTTTCCTTTGAGGGGGCTCGCCTTGCAGAAACAAAGGCAGCTGCTGGGCATTTTGCCAAACCGCATATCTAGGGGTCATTATTTTGCAGCCACACGCCACGCAGCGTTTTAGACTTCGAATCCTTCGCAGGACGAGGTCATTTCCTGGACGGACGAGTGCCAGGAGCCTCTCAGGTAGAATAGAATCCATTTGAAAAACCCCCTCTAAAGAGAGAGGTGCTATGTTCTGTGTTCGCGCTTTCGCGCGGCGCAGTCTGCAGCTGTCGCTGCAGTCGCTGCGCAGTTCGCGCAGTCGCTGCGCATTCGCGCGGCGGAACTCCACGCGGAACTCCACGCGGGCAGCACCCAAAAAATGGGTGGTGCCTGTTTCCAGTTCCGAGGCACTTCGAAAACATAAGCGCCACGAATGAATTCGAGCATCACATCCCAGCCGCGCCACTGACACGCCAGCCCGCCGAGTCATACGGATCATACGGATCATACGGATCATACGGTCATACGGTGGCGGTTTGCTTGTGCGCCACATTCCTGCCGCGCCACCTGCCTGGCATAGAAGCCTCCCGGCCGCACCACCTGCCTGGCATAGAAGCCTCCCGGCCGCGCCACCTGCCCGGCATAGAAGCCTCCAGCCTGCCGAGCCTGCACCACCCGAGGTCGGAATTCCGACTTTGCTCTACACCGAGGTCGGAATTCCGACTTCGCTTTTTTGCCCGAAAAACAACCCTCGGCCCCTGCAGACACGCCTCTGCAGGCAATTCCCGAGGACGGCTTCCGCACTCCCGCAGACGAGGACGTTGGCTGGCGCGGCGGAACCCGCTTTGTTGAGGACGACCTGGCGGAAGACTCCGAGGCCGGCGCCCTGGCCAGCAACGGTCAGGGGCCGCCCTCCATCACGGAACGTCTGCGCTTCCGCTCTCAGCTGCCCGGACGCTGAGTACGCGCCTGCCCCGTCCGGGCCAGCCAGCCGCCTCCGCAGATCATAGGCGGCCCAGTGACATGAAGCGCCTGCCTTATCTCTCGTCCGTCCAGGAAATGACCTCGTCCTGCAAAGGATTCGAAACCTAAAACGCTGCGTGGAGACGTGGGCTGCAAAATAATGACCCCGAGATACGCTTGCAATTTGGCTCCAGGTTGCATTTCAAGTCGAGCCAAGCTTTGCAGGGCTAAGAAAAAAAAAGAAACAAAGGGTCCCAAAAAAACCAAAAAAAAAAAGGGAAAAGGGGTTTCCTTTGGCAAAGCTTGACATCGCTTGAAATGCAACCTGGAGCCAAATTGCGGCGCATATCTCGGGGTCATTATTTTGCAGCCACACGCCTCCACGCAGCGTTTTAGGTTTCGAATCCTTCACAGGACGAGGTCATTTCCTGGACGGACGAGTGCTAGGAGCCTGTCAGGTAGAATAGAATCCATTTGGGAAACCCCCTCTAAAGAGAGAGCTTTGTTGCGCAAACCTAATCCATTTTTGCCGCAATATTGCGATAGCCTTTAACAAGGCAGCCTGCGGTTGTCCAAGTTCCTTGTCCAAGTTCCCCGGGCGAACT